ATCGCTGGAACTGAAATTACAGATACAGAAATACATCGAAAGGAAAAAGGGATTATCATCAAATCACTGAGAGAGAGGATCAACACTTACCAGTAGGTTTGTCTTTGCATAACAATGTTATGTGCACGCGATGTACGATGAAAATGATATATCAGCTATGGTCAAGTCAATCCTGTCTTCTTATCCCAACGTGACAAATGTCTCCATGCATCTAATTCATGAAGATAATACAAAAGGCAATATGCATCCCCCATGCAAATAATGTTTTCCTGAAATAATTTCCAAGTGCATTCTCAAAGGCAATCGACTCTCTTCTACTACTCCCTTATTCTCCTATGTGTGAATAAAACCTCAGTGTTCTTCATTTTCTTCTAAGTACTCTCTATGTTGTTTTTGTAAGAGGAACTTTGTCGGAGTTACAGGTTGATTTGGGTTTGATCTTTGACCAACCCCACCAGTCCACTGCCCCTACCTGTCCTCGCCGAAGTTACGAGGAAGAAAACAACCCTTATGTATTAGCATCTTGTGTTTTAGTGTGTGCATATGTGTATATATAGACATGTGTATATATACGTATGTGTTTAGTATACTATATATAAAATTATATTCAATAATATTTTTTTATTTTTTAAAAAATTAGTAAAACATAAAAGACTAAAATGTCCCTCATACTAATGGACATTATTAAAAAAGTTAGTGACTAAGGATCATTTTCGAAGCAAAATGAGAACCATAAGGACGATTTCTTGACTTATCAAAGTTCAGGTCTCACTTTTACTCTTTATCAAATTATATGTCAAATTGTATATCATATATGCATCCCCTTTTGGGAAAATGACACAAATTGCTATTTTAACCGACCAAATTTACCTCTTAGCCATTTATCTTCCAATATTTTAAAAAAGTCACTACCTCTGTAGGTAAACATTCCTCAACTTACCCGTTAAAAAAATCAAACCACTTCATTTCTGGTAGGGCACTTCACTTGCAGAACATGATTTAAAAAAAGTTTTCGACTATCCAAATTTTGAACTACTTCACTTGCGGAACTCTTATCACATACAAGAAAACCAAATGAAGCTTCGGTTGCACCAAGGACACTTGCGACTACCCACCTCAAGTGCATGAACCCACCTCACACAAACTTGTCTTTTTTACCCTTTCGCAAGTTGCAGTCTGGGCATTTGAGGAGGTGGTAATTTTTTTTGAAGTATTGAAAGAGAAATGATTAAGAGGTAATTTTGGTCGATTGAAATGACTATTTATGTCATTTTCTTATCTCCTTTTATATTATAATTTATATAAGATAATGCATTGAAAATGTAAAAAATAAATTCGAATATTAGGGGGTGTTTGGGATTGCTTATTTAAAACAACTTATGTTTTTTTGTAAAAATGCTTATTAACCTATGTGGTATCAAACCGGAGTTTTGTAAAAAGTGTTTGGATTAGCTTATAGCGGTAAGGTTGTTTTTTAGAGTTTGACAAAGTTTGCTTATATATATAAAAGGGAAAAGTCTAAAAAAATCCAATGGACTTTAGTGTTTGGAATAATTTTAAGTCTTTGGACAATTTTTTGGAACAAATAAGTCATTGGACATTCCAAAACATGTTAAATAACTTCTTAGACAATTTAAAACATGTTAAATAACTCATTGGACAATTTTTTGGAACAAATAAGTTATTGGACAATTTAAAACATGTTAAATAACTCATTGGACAATTTTTTGGAACAAATAAGTCATTGGACAATCCAAAACATGTTAAATAACTCCTTGGACTTTTCTAAAACCTGTTGGATACATTCTTATGACTTGTACAACTAGTTAAAGTGGTAAAATAGTGACAAAAATCTGAAAAAACCCCAATAAACATTCATATTTTGAACGATTAAGTCCCTAAATATTTTTTGAACCAAAAAGTATTTAGATCTATAAAATTAAACAAATATAACAAAAAAGTACTTACATTTA